CTCATCACAATAAAAACAGTCCTCCATTCAGCCTCCTCTACGTCAGTAGCAACACACGGGCTGTCAACACTTTTGTTTGTTCATTTTCTTTTTTCTTTACGTTGCTTGTTTTGGCTTCTTTGTTCCGTTGGCTTGCTTACTGTGTTGTTGTCAGGCAGCTCTCTCCAGAGACCATGAAGGGCATTGTGCAGGCCAGGCAGAGCATGGGTCAGATGTGTCCTTGTGTCTGGACATGTGTTCTTGTGATCTGAATAGGGTTGTGTGTTTGTCTGATTGTGGCATGTGTGTTTGGAATGTCGAGTCATGACTACCGGTTGCATGATCTCTTTTGTTTCAGATCGTCTTTGTCCTCGCTATTTTTCTCTTCCTCTCTCTCTCCCTGTATTTGTTCCTCACCCTCTCTTCGCTGAAGCCCCCTGCGAAGTTGCGTGAACGTTTCCTGTCCTACTTGCCGGTTTAGTACTCACAGCTTGACTGACACTGCCATAGCACTTGTGTGTTTTGGTCTGATAATGGTAGCTATGGTACTGCATGCTGTTGCCAAACTAATCACCATTTATTACCCCATATTATACAATTCTTCTCTTTTCACACAACTGCATCAGGCTCTTGCTACAGCACTACAGCACAACTCGACATGTTGTAGTCTATCAGCAACAGGCCTTTGACAATTCGAATAATATTCCCAACTTTTGTCTGGTTAATTTTTGAATAACACTTGTGTGTGTCTTTCTCTTGTGTCCCATGTCTTCACCTCCCCCCTCTTTAGTTGACAGCTCAGCGTCCCTCTGGGCTGTCCTCCCAGTCAGGATCAGACAGTGCTCCACAGTGCCTCCTCCTGGAGAGGCGTGGAGAAGCTGAGGCTCAGCAGGTCCAGGAGCACACAGTGGACATCACCTCCCCACAGGACCATGTGCCCACCCATCCAGGGACACCCACAGACCCCCTGGCTGAAATGCTGGTCAATGGAGACAGCAACACCAAAGCTCCAAGCCCTGTGCCAAGTCGTGTGTCTTCCCCTCGCTCCCCCCGTTCTCCGCACTCACCTCCTCCACGCTCGCCCTCTTCTCCGCACTCCCCTCACTCCCCACATTCTCCTCGCTCTCCTCGAAGTCCTGTTTTTACGAATGGCCACTTCTCTCCCTATGTCTCTGGCCAAAAAGATTTAAATAACGGTGCTTACCCCAAGCTGAGAGACCATGAGAATGACTCCGGCCTCGCTCCCTGTGCCACAGAGTCTCAGCTGAGAGAGGAGGAGGGTGGAGAGGGGATCCAGGCCAAAGTGCAGACTGGCAGCCCAGTGCTCTCCTCCCCAGTTGCCCCCCGCAAGGACCCCAGCCGCAGGCAAAGTCGCATCCCAGTCCTGGAGCCCTCCAGTCTGCTGGAGCTCCCACCTCCAGGGTCTGCCAAGGAGAAACTCTTAAAGAAGAAAGCCAGTCACCAGGGTCCGGTCCCCTCTCCCACCGCCTCACCCTCCCTCTCTGATAGGCGCAGTGCCATGGTCGCCTCCCTTGCAAGAGACCCACTGTCCTCCACCTCTGACCGCTCGCAGGACGAGGACTCTCTCATGGGCTCCCGCTCCGACCGCCAGGGAGACGATGCTCCGTCTCTCTCCTCCTCTTCTAGCCCTCTGTCCCGCAAGAGTAGGATCCCTCGTCCAGTTCATTCTGCTGAGCAGCTGGCTGCCCAATTCCTGCCACGCCCACCGCCTGGGAAGCCACCTAGTCGCTCCACAGTGGAGGGCAGGTAATTTGTTTATCTGAATCCAATGATTAATACAACCATTATGATACCATAATACAAAGAGCAAGAAGATGAGAATAATAACATTTTACTTTCCTTGTTTATTCTTGTGATTGAGTGTTTGTTGTGTGTTGGTGGGAATTAACATCAAACAATGGTCCACTCTAATTAAATATGAATATGAGTCACTTAATGACTTGACTGTTACTCACACCCTTCCCTGCTTTTTGTACCCACTAAGGCTAAGACGTTACCGCATCCGAGCGAGCAGCACCAGTGACTCTGACCTCCTGACATGCCTCGCTCAGCTGATGCATGGCTCCCGCGGCTCCCCCGTTCACCACCGCTCCTCAGCCCAGCACGGGGGCTCCAGGATGGGCATCTGCAGTCTGACGAGCTCGCCGCACCACCACCGCAGCTCCAGCGCTTCTCCGCGCAGCTCCTCCTCCCTGCAGCGCTCCGTGAGCTCCTCGCCCTCCCGCCATGAGCCCCGTGGGGGCGGGGGAGGGGGCTGCCTTGGCCGCAGCCGTTCGCCCCCCAGCTTCTCCGGCTCACCACCCCCCCGCCGCTTTTACTCCCATCATCAGGAGACTTGCTGCAGCCGCCAGGCACGCACAGGCCCCTTATACCTGTCCAGGGGTAAAGGCTGCAGCCGAGAGGGCAAGTGCTCCAGCAAGCTGAGCAGATAGTTGCACTGATACAGCAGAGGACGGGAAGACTCCAAATTCTGACAGACATCAGTCAGGATAAGAACCTGAGTCTTCCTCTTTAATTAGATAAAAAAAAAAAAATCTTCTTTCACAGTGTTTCCCCGTCAGTCTGATTCTTACAGTTGAACCTCGCCACTTCCTAGTGTTTGCTTCTTCTATTTGCACACAGCGTTTGTCATTCAATTACGTGCTTAGCTTTAAACCAGTGGTTCAGTATTGAATTTCCGTAAAGTTGTGGGACAGGTTTGAGGAACAATGGTCAAAATCCGTACATCAGAGGTTCTGACACCAAACGCTTCTTCTTCCCTGACTCCTCCATGTGAGTAAATGTTTTCGGTGCCACTTTATGACAATTTATCAGACTAACTACTGTATCATTTTATATTCGTTAAAATGTGGTAGAGCAAAATAGTGTAGCTGTAAAATGTAACAGTTCTTTCTCAAGGCAGGAAGTTCAATAATACATGAGTCAATAGTTAGTTGAGCCAGAAGACACATAAATAAATCAGCTTATTTAACTCTAAACCATCCTGCACAACAATATATAGTAGCTTATTTATCCCCCAGTGATGATGCACTTGTGTAATACTGATTGAATATCAGTGCAGCTGATCCCAGCTTTGTTAAATATTAGCCTGGGGTTGAATCCGTTGTCTCCTGATTTTTGGAGCAGGCAGGGTATAATATTTACTTTATGCTACAAGTGAATGCATAAAGCCAGAGTTTGTGTACAGCTGTATTTATTGAGATATTTATTTTCATGCTTAGTGATGCCTACGACTCCTGTACCCTCTTCTGTGCGATCATGGACGTGCGGGTTTGTGTCGCCCGGATTAGTTTTACACGCTCAATCGACGGGATTACGCCGAAGTGATCCTTTATACAATCAATCATGTACCGTGTGTGAGGATACACACCTTTTTGTGCCTACTGTGTTGCTGAGAGGTGATTTGAAGGGATTACAGGTTGTTGTAGTGGAACTCCTTTTTAGATGTGAAGGCATCATGTGTTAGCTGTAGTTGTAGTAGCAGTAGGGAGCTTAAAGAACACAAGGTACATCACATGAGTAATGGTCAGATATATTTGTCTCAGCTTGTGCCTTGGCACTTTGGGCAGCTTGAGGATTCACTCTGGTGTGTCTGTGATTAGAGAAAAATAAATGGAGCCAAAATCAGACGCGTGCCAGTGGTTATGAAGACGACGACCCATTCCACCAGTATTCTTTAATGTAGAAAAGGTAGCAACACAACTGTTTGTAAATCCGACACAATTTGAGCAACAGTTTACTTGATTAGCTGTTATTTATAAAGGAGATATTTAAAATTTCGAAACCCACTTCAGCTGTCCTGTATGTACCAGGTCAGTGTTTGAGACGACACTTTGAACAAATGTGAATTTCAGACCTCAAACAACATTTTGTCAAATGTTACTGAAAACAGAGGCCATATGTGTGTATATATATATGTATATAAATATATTTCTCACACCAATATGATGAAGAATGTTTTTTTTTTGTTTCTTAATTTTTCTCCTGCGCTGGAGAATGTCTTTTTATAAAACAACGTACAATGTGTTTGTGCTCCAGGCGAAGGAGTCAGAGTAATGTTTGTGTTTTGATTTAAGTCCAGATTCCTCATTCAAACTCCTCTTCTCACTCCTCTGCTTGTAAGATACTGTAACATAACTCCGGCTTCCTTCCAGCGCTACTCTTTGCATGTTCAACCGAGAAAAGACGGGAATATAAAAAAAAAATCTAACTCAACTACTGAGTAAAACGCTGCACACCCCCTCCCATAACAGGGCATTTATCTTGTGAAGATTTCAGCTCAGCAGGGACTTCATTACCTGTTGGGTTGTTTTATTTCTGTGAATCTGTGTATCTCATTTTCCTCTTCCCACCTCGTGTACGACACTAGTGTTTTTGCGCTTCCTGCACGGACTTGGGATGATTGTGTTGCTGGATAACGACAAGACTGTATTTTTATTAGTGCAAATATAGGACGTGTTGCGCAAAATAAAAACGGAGAACAGACTTTGTATTGTAGGAAAAACCAAGTTGAAAGATAAACAGCAGCCTCTATAAGACACGGCCGCATGTATGAACAGACATTGCCAAATATTTTGATAGATTTTGCAGATGTGGTTCAACTTGATATGTGATATACGTGTATAGAGTGGGCACGTTGCTTTGTAGACGTGCTGTTTTGGTTTGACTCGTGCAGGAACCTACGCCGGCCTCACAGAGCAGCTACGATGACTCATCCTGAAGGCAGACAGCGTTCAGTCAGTCAGCCGCCTTAATGTCTCTTCTCTGCCCCCTCTGTGCATAGCGAGGGATGACTGAGCCTTGTCTGTGTTGGTGATCATTCCACTATTATAGGGCCTGAGCCTTTTCCTGTCCCTTATCTCTTGTCTGTGAATGCCTGGTCACCTCTGAAATCAGTGCTGTGAAGACCTGTTCCTTTTCCTGTGAGCTTGCATGGGCTGTTTATCGATCGACTGGCTGGAATGAAAACATATCAGGTTTGCAGTGTTCAGTGTGTGTTTGTTCGTGCGATCACTGCTGAAAAAGGGGCGTGCAGTTTCTACATGTCGCCAGCAATCAATCTTTGAATCCTCCCACGTTCAACCGTCTTTATTTCAGCCTCAAGCTTTCAAAGTTCAGAACGCCGTTGTGCAAGACTTTTAATATATACCTGTATGATATTCAAATAATTATTTAAATGAAATCCTTATTGTAAAACCATAACTTATACGCTAACAAGCTTCAGTGAAAGGGAGGAACAGACACTAAACAGTGCTGCTGATTTTAAAAGATGATCTGATTTCTTCTCATGTTTCTCTAATATTATTTTTATTGCACATAAGTGGTGTGTAGTTGTAGTCCTGGTGTTTCCCTCCAGATGAGATTATTGTCGTCACTTTTTCAAGTGGCCTGATGTTGAAGGTGTCATATTTATGTAGTAGCGTGCTGGTATTAGGCTGACAAGAGCAAACCCAGCTGTTTTGTTTTATTTTAAAAGGTGAGAAGGAAACTAACAAAAGCTTTGGTGTACACACTGTACACTTCTCATCATAACACCAGATTACTTGTTAATAACTTATAAATACTTGACAGGAAATTATTTATTGTGACATTTGCTAATTTGCCCATCCATCGTTTTGACTTCAATTGTTGGGATTTTTTTAATGGTCAATATTTTTTGTGTTGTAATGTACGTCTTGGTTTTGAAATGTAATTGTACAGTCTCGAGGAAAGAATGTAACAAGTGGGAGTTTTGCATTGTATATAACTGTAATTATTTATGTTTATTCTATCATTTGTATCATATCAATGCCTTGTACAGTGTTTTTCTTTTTCTTTTTGGTTTTGAAATTATTTTGTATTTTATTTTTATAAACTGGTTATAAATAAAATACTCA